CTCACACTCTTTTGTAAGCACGATTTTAAAACTACAATATTAAATGAAATTTTCGCGACACTTATTTCGCGATTTTCACGGCTTTCAAAAAATCGYGAAATTAAAGTGACGCGAAAAATAAGTGCCGCGAATATATAATGATGCAAAGATTAAGTGATCATGCATTATGCATATTTAAATAAATATTGAATTTAATAAAAGACACGAACTATTTCTCGTTGTTGTTGTTGTTACGGTTACTTAATCAGCAAAGTCGTTTTGTTCAAGGAAACTGTGGGTTTGAATTATTCCTGGTAATTAATAACTCATTTTATGAAATACGCTGCCTATCAAATGCCGTGGTTTTATATTGAATTCAAAGATTTTTGAGTTGTTTATAGAAGAGCTTCACACCACGTGATCTGGAGAAATGCTTTTATATTTTGGTTTGTTCTGTTTTGGGGTTTAGAATTTAAAAATARAATTGCTGAAAACGATATTTCTTTTATGAAGTATTTGATATAATGCCCCGTTCACACCAACTGTAAAAACGTGGTTTAAAGTTGTTCAACTACACAGGTTTAGAAAATTATTAAACTCATAACTGTTTGTATTTTGAATAACATAAGTTTAAGTTATTTTTATTCCATTGATGTTAAATGATGCATATTATAAAATTTAGAAAAAACTAATTTAACTAAACCTATTTTGGCGTGAATGGAGTATAAGAAATGTAAAAAAAATTTTTGTAAAAACACCTTGAAAAGGTTTATCTCGTAGAGGTCATCAGGGTCAATGGGGAACAGTGTGTGCTGGTAGCTGGGGCATGAATGATGCCAAGGTTGCATGCCGTCAACTTGGTTTTACCAAAACTCTAGGACCTTGGTGGAATGGACATGGGACGGGTAAAGTATGGTTGAACGGCATGGGTTGTTCAGGCTCAGAGTCCTCACTTGGAAGCTGTAGCCATAATGGATGGGGAAGCGTTGCCTCTTGGTGCAATAATCACAATGATGATGCTGGTGTCGTGTGTATTTGTTCTTGTATGGATCAAGATATCAAGCAATCTTTCTATATTATTCGCCCTCACATTGTTCTTCACCAGAAGATTTTTCAGAATCGCAAGCAACAAAATGAGGTAAATSACTCCCTGCGTATAGCATGTCWTACAGCAACAACATTCTGTGCAGCAGCAATACCAAATAACACTACTGAACCCTCTGCGGATCCGGCGGGTTGTTTCCAGCAGCGTTGCATACTCTGCCAGTGGTGAGCAGTTGCAATAGTCGAAGCTGGCAATGAAATTGGTGCAGCAACTATACATATGTCACGTGAGGCAAATTACCCGTGTCTTCCTTATTCTTGTCCCTTTTCAAAGAAAGTTCACGTAGTCTTTCCTTATCTTCAAATGTCAGCGACTGTAAATTTTGTGCAACGCCTTTGACCTTTAACCTTGGAAGGGGAGCAGCAATAACTATTCAGGGCAATAGCTTTTCGGTCTTGTAGAATACTAAAACTGACCAATATACATCCTTRGAATGGGGACGCCTTTCATCAAGAGAGTATTATGGTATATAGTGTTGGATACGTCTATAGTTCGATGAGGTAGATTACCAGGGTCAATGGGGAACAGTATGTTATCATGGCTGGGATATGCCCGATGCCAAGGTTGCTTGCCGTCAACTTGGTTTTACCAAAGCTGTAGGACCTTCAGATTGGGGACGAGGGACGGGCAAGATATGGCTAAACGGCATGCTATGTACAGGCACAGAGTCCTCACTTGGAAGCTGTTCTCATAACGGATGGGGAAGCGTTCCCTCTTGGTRCAATAATCACAATGATGATGCTGGTGTCGTGTGCACTTGTTCTTGTATGGATCATGATATCAAGCAATCTTTCTAGAAGATGTTTCAAAAGTACAAACAAGAAAAGGTGAATCGAACGTACCCTGGTCGAGCATGACTCAGAGCAACGACATCCCGTGCGGCAGGAATACTTAATAACACTAMTGATTCCTCTACTGATCCTTCGTTTTGTTTCTCATCAGTAGGTGCAACAGTCGAACCTTTCAATGAAATTGGCGCAACAACTATATATATTGYTAGAGGCAAATTACGTACCCGTTTCTTCCTTTTTTCTTCGCAAATTAACGTAGTCTTTTCTTATCTTCAAGTGTCAGCTGCTATARATTCTCTGCAACGCCTTCGACTTTTAATCTTGGAGAGGGAGCAACGATAACTATTCAGGGAAATAGCTTTTCSGTCTTGTAGAATAGTAGAACTGACCATTGCRCATCCTTGGGATGAGGTCGTCTTTCATCACGAGAGGATTGTGATATATAGTATTGAATAATTCTAGGGTTCGAAGARGTGTATCACCAGGGTCAATGGGGAACAGTATGTCATTATAACTGGRATATGCCMGATGCCAAGGTTGCATGCCGTCAACTTGGTTTTACCAAAACTGTAGGACCTTTGAGGTATGGACGTGGGACGGGTAAGATATGGCTAAACGAAATGCAATGTACAGGCACAGAGGTCTCACTTGSAAGCTGTTCTCACGATGGATGGGGAAACGTTTACTCTTACTGCAATGGTCACACAAGGGATGCTGGTGTTGCATAATGGCAAATGCCGTATTACTAGCAGACATGCTATGACCTATGAAGTAACTAACTTGAATCACTGCAAACTTAATCACCAGGAAACTTTGAAGCTCGGTGAGATCAAGATATAGCTTTGATAAATGCAACCCATAGCAAACAAGGGCAGTTGGCATATATTATTCAACATTCGTATTTGATTAAGCAACACATTAACACCACCAAGTCTCTCGAATGTGGGCTTATATGTGACTTAACAGCCTAAGGCAACAGATTCAGATGGTTAATCTTTTGTTTGGGATTTAATGTTGAATATATAGTATAGGTTTGTATGTTTATACCACTCGTAAAGGTTCATTAGCATGCAAGGTATGACAAGCGAGTCAAAACGAGGGCAAATTTGATTGTCCTCTCCAATGATACAAATGAAGTAGATTTTGTTATACAGATATGAGGGAATGCATGGCTACTGCATGCTTGGTACGATTGTGATATAGATGATAGTATGCCCAAATCGAATTACCTAAACCGGAAAATCGGTTATTAAGGTGAAACGTTTTCTGTAGATATGTTCGGAGTATAATAGTTTCTATTAAGTAATAGTCGAATATCAAATGTAATCTAGCTT